CTATACAATTTATCCATTTAAATCACACAATTTAACGGCTTTTAGCATATTTTCAAGATTGATCACAATTTTAAACTCTTTTATTACTCCATTTTTTAGCTATCATTTCACCATCACCACCACCACCACCACCACCACCACTAATTCCATTCAAGCCCTGGACAACCATTAATCTGGTTTCTGTCTCTATAAATGTGCTTATTCTAGACATTTCATATAAAAAGAATCATGTACTATATGGTCCCTTGCAACTGGCTTCTTTCATTTAGCATTCTGTTTTCAAGGTTCATGTATGTTGTAGCATATGCTAGTACTTTATTCCTTTTTAGTGCTACATAATATTCCATTATGTGGATACACCTCTTCTAATTTACCCATTAGTGTATAGATGTCTCCACTGTCTTCCCTTTGGGCTGTTGTGAAAAAAATATAAGTTTCTTCTTCTTCTCTCTTTTTTTTTTGTGTGTGTATGTTTGTGTGTGTGTGTGTGTGTGTGTGTGTGTGTGTGTGTCTACATTTGTTTTCCTTTCTCCTGAGTATATACTTAGGAGTGAATTGCTGGATTCTGAGTAACATTTTGATAGTGAGAGAGGAGTGGAAGAAAACTTTAGAAGTATGTCTAGAAACTAGTAGGAGTTATTGCTTCTTGAACTTGTGGCTAAGATCAAGTGTAGAAATCTGTGCAAGTGTAGCTTGATGAAGGCACAAGAGGGAAGTGGGAATTAAGGCTGCAAAAGACATTCAGGGTACAATCATAACCACTTTGCTTACAAAAATGAAGAAGTCTGGATAAAAATGAAATAATAACATTTGCAACTTATTATGTGTCCAATACAGGACTAACAAACTTAATACCTCAGTGAATATTGGCAACAGCTTCCTGTACAAATATTAGTGTTCTTGTTTACAGATGAGAGAATTGAAACTCACTGATTAAAGTGAATTGCCTAAGGTTACCTGGCATCTCATTAAATTTCAGAATCAGTATTTCAGCTTGATACTTTTTTCCTTTTATTATAATATTATACATTGTTGAGATCACGACAAAAATAAATATATTTTTACATAGTTTTATGTGAACATTATAACATGAGCATATTCTAATGTCATTAGAGATGCTTCTTAAACAATATTCTTTTTTGTAGTGCTAATGATCAAAACCAGAGCCTCCTGCATGCTACGCAAGCACTCTACCACTGATCTTCACCCTCAGCCCATTGAAAAATATTGTTATTGGTGTATATTATATACATAAAATATATAGTATGTAGATATATATACATATTCAATATATATTGCAATATATGGTATAGCTAAATCCTAACCTATCATTTTTGTTTATTATTTATATTATGTTTTATTACATTATTATTTAATATCATAAATAATATTGTGACAAATATGTTTGTGAATCAATTTGTGTTGCTACCAGCATTTAAAAAAATTTTTTTGTAGTTGTAGATGGACATCATGCCTTCATTTTATTTATTTTTTTATGTGGTACGAAGGATTGAACTCAGTGCCTCACACGTGCTAGACAAGCGCTCTGCCACTGATCTATAGCCCCAGCCCCTGCAACCAGCATTTTAAAGAATACTTGTTTCAACTTCCGCAGTATTGAATATTGTCATGTCCTTGTGATAAATCACTTATCATTGAAATTTTTAAAAAATAATTATTCAAGTTCAACATTTGCTAAGTGGTTGTATACCACCCATATTTCTTCTCTTATGAAGTGCCTGTTCAGGTCTTCTGCCTCTTTGATCATTTTGAGCTTTAATTATGTTTGTCAATCTATAGACTTCTTTACATAGAAGCTCTTAACTTTTAGCTATCATAATTTTGGGGGCAATTTGTTCTTTTTGCTGAAGGAGGGTCCCCAGAACAAAAACAAAGTTAGAATCCAAGTCAGAGTGCTGGTTTGACCATTGTCACTTGAGAGGTACAGCCCACCAGAGCCTTGGGAATGGTGGTGATCTCTGCTGGAAAGGGAAACAAACCCAGTTAGAAAAATTGAATGAAAACATTTTGGGAAAAGGGCTGGGGATGTGGCTCAAGCGGTAGCGCGCTCGCCTGGCATGCGTGCAGCCCGGGTTCCATCCTCAGCACCACATACAAACAAAGATATTGTGTCCACTGAAAACTTTAAAAGTAAATAAATATTATTTAAAAAAAAAAAAAAACATTTTGGGGGTGGAAGTGGCTCACTGGTGGATGACACAGCCTAGCATGCTTGAGGCCCTGGGTTTGATCTGCAGGCCCTATGAGAAAAAAAGAAAAGAAATGAGGGCTGTAGCTCAGTGGTAGAGCACCTGCTTCCTACACGTGAGGCACTGAGTTCAATCCTCAGCACCACATAAAAATAAATAAATATAAAAAAAGAAATGAAATGAAAAAGAAAATATTCTCTAATGATTAATCAGAGGTAGCTTTTTTTCTCCAGTGGAAGTGCCTCTAAATTTTTCATGTTAATAAAGGACAATGGAATGGATGCTGAAACAGACACATCATTTAATGCTAAATTATGTTCTATTCAAGTTCATGTTACCTTTCCACACGTGTGGCTGAGGTTACCATTAAAATCTGGCACAAAACATCATTGAACTATTCCTCTGGGTCAGTAGTATCCCTGGATCATGTGCTATGTGGGGTAAGAGGACCTCAATACTTCCTGCTTAAGTGTCACAACACCAGATTAATGGTAGTGAACTAGAAAATGTTTTCCAGGCATAGATTTGCACTCCCAATCCTGAAATGCATAGGAACAATTCATTGCCTACAGTATCAGACTTGAGAAGGCCTGAAGGGGACTGATTTCTATTAATTCTTGCCATTGACAACTTATATACTTAAGATAGCTTTTTTATTGTTGTTGTTGTTCTCTTGAGTTGAAGAATCAAAATGAAAATTTATAACTGCCACAGTATCATGTACCCTTTTTATACAGGAATATTTATAGCACCAACCTCCATCTCCAGAGCATATTCTGTACTTTCACTTCTATACTAAAGCTCTAATCAACTGAGTCATAAATTCTATTGTAAACAAATCATGATTGTAAATTCTAACTTGACAGTGACAAAATTTTTCCTTATTCCAACTCTCATGCTTCCCCCATAACTTTATTACTAACACAAAACCTTATTTTGTGGGCAGAGGTGAGCTCCTGAGGATCCAAAGTAGTGGATGACACAGTCACAGACACATGATACACACAGGTCAAACCAGTAACCATTCTGTCTTGGTTATCAATGTCAAAATGGGCGTTGCCTTCTTTCCTAAAACTCATTCTCCCTAACTCAGACCTTTTCTGTACTTCCAGAGCCTTCTCCACAGGGCAAAAGCCTGGTTTTGGAGAAAAATACAGGACTCCTGTTCTGCGTTGTCTTGGCAGGCCTCCTCTTTTTTCCTCTAACACAAAATGTGCCACCAAAGTGGCACACACCTGGAATCCAGCAACTTGGGAGGCTAAAGCAGGAAGATCGCAGGTTCAAAGCCAGCTTCAGCAACTTAGTGAGTCCCTAAACAACTTAATGAGAGCTGTCTCAAAATAAAAAAGACTGGGGATGTAGTTCAGTGATAAAGCACCCCCAGGTCTCCCAGTACTGGGGGGGGGGAGAGGGAGGGAGAGAGGGAGAAGTGTATTTTATAATTTAAGAAACCTGTAATATACTTTCCAATGGCTACCTTGATAAGATAATGAAGATTACAACAGCCTAAAGACACCAAGAAAGATTATAAACATTCTTGTGATCACCAGATTGCTGTCATCCTCACAGATCTTTCCATGACCACCCTTCACAAATATCCTTTAAAAGAAGAACCTGAGAAACATAAACGTATCTTTCACTCTGAAGATGCCCCACATTTTCCCTTCAGTGTGTATTCCTTGCTTTACTCCAAAGGGCATCTCTCATTTGAGATAGCCTACTGTCTCTCTTGAATGTGTTTCTAGTTCCTTAAATAAATCTTTCTGTTTCTAACTAGCACGGGCTGAAATTCTTTTCCAACTAGTAAGTCAAGGACCCCACTTGTCCTGAATTTCCTCCTCTCCATGAACTCCTTGAACCCTCTAGTTCTTTGCCTTACTGCTGAGCGCAAACACCTGTCTGTGTTTCCTGCCTTTTTCCTTTGTAAAGACTCAAAAATTCCAACTTGACAATCAGAAGAATATCCAAACCGTCCCGCAAGCATTTTTGGAGGTGTGGACATAGGGACTGGATTGTCCACTGTTGTCTGGCGGTGGACGTTCCCTGCAGAATGTGCCCAGTGACTGCGCGGGATATTGCCTTGTAGGCACACAGATCCGTGCGAGTTTGCACGTGTGGCCAGAGTTCCGGGCGGTCTGGGGTTAGCATCCCAGAGCTTGGGGACTGGGTAGAGCTTCAAGTCCGAGCTCCCAGTTTAGGAGGCGGACTGCACCAGACCTCTCTGGGCTACTCCGGGGTAGAAGCCACGTCTCCCCTCCTAAGCGTCTGGGGGAAAGGGAAGACAGAAAGGAATTGTGAGTGTTGGGCGCCACCGTGGCTCCCCCCACTATTCCCAGTGCAATTTCAGCAGTGCCAACCATTTGTTGTGAGCAGAGGACCAGTACAAGACTTGTGACCCACCCCCCAGTGCCGAACCAACTCCTCCCCTTCCTTCAGAGAGAAATCTCCCAGGTGCATCCGAAATCGCGGGGTGTGGGACAGAGCCCCAAGAACTGAGAGAAGAAAAGTGGAGATGGAGAAAAGGAGGGGAAGGGAGCGAGGAGCCGGCAGCAAAGGGAACAGCAGATTGCGTCCAGCCAATGGCAACGGCTGGACCAGGTGGCACCAAATTCCCTTTGGCCAATGACTGGCCAGAGTTTACAGGAGTCTCATTAGCATTTCCCAGAGGCTGGGGCTGGGGCGGCGTGGTGTTGGCGTCGGCTGCATCCCCACGCTGTGTCTCCGGTGGCTGAGCTACTCGACTTTCTGTCTCCTCCCCTCTCCTCTCCCGCCCTTATTTCCACGCGGGGCTGTCTTGGCCAGGCAGCTCTGCTCACTCTGTCCCTTTTGGCAGCAGACCAAAGAGTTTTGAGGAAACGGTCGCCCTAGGCTAACTCTTCCCTTTAAATTCCGAGCCCAGAGAGTTCCGCGCACAGCGGGTCGGGCCTGCACAGCCATCCACGTGCCACAGCAGAGAGGTGTTCCGAGCGCAGCTCCACCGACGCCCCGCACCAGCGGACCCCTGAGCCGAAGTCCATCCTCTGTCTCAGCTGCGCCAAATTCGCTCCGCAGCCTCAGCCCTGGGAGGGCGATCCCAGCACCCGAGAGCCAGATGCCCGCCCACATGCTGCAGGAGGTGAGCGTCCCAGAAGTGGCCTCCGTCCCGCTGCGTAGCGGGTGCGAATGGGGCTTGTAGGCGACTGGTTAGTGGGGGAGACAATTAAGAGCTTCTGTG